TATCCCGAGAGGCCGAGCGGATGACAGCATGGGCTGTGGCAGGGCTCCCGCCGGTCTCTGGCTAGAGACTGCGCTGAGCCTGAATGTGGGGGCAGATTAGCCCCCAGCCTCTCCTGCGGGGTTCGAACACCTCCCTCTGAATCAGCTGCTTCCAGCCTCTGCTGGAGACGGGCACAGGGTGGATGGGCCTAGGTCTGACCTGTCTGTCTAGTGCTGTGCACGGGGGTTCATTGGGGCACGTGCATCTGTAGTTGTCTGTGTGCCCAGCAGAGGCTGCGTACAGTCTGTGTGCTCACGGGGGTGGTGTCTGTGCCCGTGTGGGCAAGGGGCGCGCGTCCGGGCAGGAGCAGGTCTGTGCCTGTGGGGGAACCCTGGCCTGGTTCACACGTCCTTGGCCGTGTTACCCGGAAATCCCTCCCAGGAGCCTTGTACCACCTTGTGCTAGGGCTGGGCCGATCTTCCTGCCGGGGCACGTGGCACATAGATACAAAAGTGCCACTTCCCCCGTCACCCCCCTCACTCTCACCTCCCAGGTGCTGGAGCACCAACAACAACATGGGCTTCTGGTGGATCCCCCGCTTCCCTGTGTTCCTGGCCATCCTGGTAAGTCCCAGCCCGCCCTGCCCCCCCCTCCTCACCCCGGGCCCCCTCCCCTCTCTGCACCACGGGCCCCCTTTGCCCCTTTTCTGCACCACTGGCTCCCCTTGCCCCTTCTCTGCACCACGGGCCCCTTCCCCTCTCTGCACCATGGGCCCCCCTTGCCCCTTCTCTGCACCATGGGCCCCCCTTGTCCCTTCTCTGCACCATGGGCCCCTTCCCCTCTCTGCACCACGGGCTCCCTCCCCTCTCTGCACCACGGGCCCGTCCCCTCTCCGCACCGCCGGCCCCTTCCCCTCTCCGCACCACAGGCCCTCTCCTGCAAGGTGCTCCCCCTCTCTCCCCTCCATCCAGCCCAGGCACCCCATCCTCCTGCCCGGCACACACCCATGCCCTCTCTTGCACGCCCCAGCTGCTCACAGATCACGACTTCATATTCAGCTTCTTTTGCCTCCGGCTCATGGAGCTGTTGGGCTGCAGTCAGGGTGCATTTTCCCACTTTGCACCAAAGCCACGGTGTCTGGATGCGTCCTGTCTTTTCAATGAGAGCGAGTCTCCCAGAATCACATGACCCCAGGAGCTGGGGCTTTCAGAAAAACACCAAATATTGTGAGAGTTGGTGCCACTGGGTTCCCCTGCATGGGTGCCCTACCCTGCCCAGGCAGAGCCCTGACCGCGGACAGGGTCCCTTTCGTCCTGCACTGGCTGCCTGGGGCTGACTAGACTCCCCAGGGTGCATCTGGGACAGGGCTGGGCACAGTCATCTCCTCCCAGTGATACTTCATGGGGCTAGGGCCACCAGCCCCACAAGGACTCCCTTGCTGGGGTGGGGACCCTCCAGTCCCTGGCCCCCATCCCCATCTGCCTCTCACCCTATTTCTCCCTTTCAGATCAACTTCTTCATTTTCATCCACATCATCCAGATCCTGGTCTCCAAACTCCGTGCCCACCAGATGCGCTACACAGATTACAAATTCCGGTGCGTACCAGGGGCTGGCCAGCTCCCCTGGGCCTCATCCTGCCCTAGGCCCAGCTCTCCCGCTCACATCTTGGGGAGGCCCCTGCACCGCAGGCCCGATGCTCTGTGTGTGTGTGTGCCCACTGCCCTGTTGTGCCAGCGGGGGCTCTGTGTGCCCATGGGACCCGGCTCTGTGCCTGTGGTGCCCGTCTAACCATGGGGCCCCATGTCTGTAGTGTCTGAAGGGGGAGGCGAAATGGGTGGGGAGTGGCTGGCTCTGATTGGTCAGTCTCCCTGGCAGGCTGGCGAAGTCCACGCTGACGCTGATCCCGCTGCTGGGCATCCACGAGGTGGTGTTTGCCTTCGTCACAGACGAGCATGCCCAGGGTACCCTGCGCTACGTCAAGCTCTTCTTCGACCTCTTCCTGAGCTCCTTCCAGGTGAGCTGGGCCTGGCGCCTGAGCAGGGCGCCCTCGAGCACCCTCTCGCCCAGCCTCTGTGCTCTGTGGCCTCCCCTCCCATGACCCTGGGGGGGGATCAAGGGGCCTGGGCCGTGCCCCTCTCATGCCCTCTCTTCTTGCTGCCTAGGGGATGCTGGTGGCCATGCTCTACTGCTTTGTCAACAAGGAGGTGAGTGCGAGCACCCTGGGCCCGGCACGGGGAGCCCGTTCCATGACTGCGTCCGCCCGGGACCCCGGACCTGCATTCTGCAGCGCAGGCCCGGCGGGGAGCACTCTGCTGCCCGGTGCCATCTGGGCCCCAGTAGGGGCTCTGGGCTTGGCCTGGCCAGTCTTGCTCTGTGGGAGGCGGAACGCTGGCTGGCGCAGGCCCCGGGCCAGGCTCACCCCGTCTGGGCTGTTTGCAGGTGCAGTCGGAGCTGCTGAAGAAGTGGCAGCGCTGGAAGCTGGGCAAGGACCTGGAGGAGGAGTACAAGCACACGTACAGCCAGACCCCCAATGCCCGCAACGGGGGCAGCAGTACTTGTGAGAAGCACAGGCTGGTGGGCAGCTGCATGTCTGGGCTGGGGCGGAGTCAGCCCACGGCGCACACCAGCACCCACTACCTCGAGAAGACGGGCTGCAGCACCGAGAGGCACCAGTGCTACGAGTTCCCCGAAACAGCCGCCAGCAACCTCTGAGCCCCCCGCACCCTCCAGAACGCAGCCAGGGCGCCGGGCCCACGCCCGTCCGCGGGCAGGCTCTGCTGGGCAGGGAGAGGGAGCCAAGGGCTCAGGCAGCGGGCTTGCAGGGACAGAAAGCGAGAGCCTGTGCCTTTCAGCCCTTCCTGGGCTGTCCGGGGAGCGGGGTGTATACCAGGCTGCCAGGGCCTGACGACAGGCATGCTGAGAATGGAGCATGCCCTGCTGCCCCTGTCCATCCTTCGGAGGCACGTGCCAGGTGGGCACGTGATGGTGTCTGTGCACAAGGCCTGCACCCCAGCACAAGTCCACATGGAGGGCAGAGCACCCTGTGCCAGCCTGGCGGGGTGTAGGGAGCCTGGGGACAGTGCCCGTTGGCGCGTGGGGGCAGGGTGTCTGCCTGCTGGGCCGTGTGTATAGCTGCTTCCTGCGCTTGCTCCTGCTGCCCGCCAGCTCCTGTGCCCGAGGTTAATTTATCTCTGCAGTAGCTCTGTAAATAGGCATGGGGTCCACGGGGCAGGCTCTGTCTGCGTCTGTCTGTGTGTGGCACGGCGCATCACTCCGGAGGACGTGGGCACCAATAAACCCTGGGGTGTGTCTCATGGCAACGAGGGTCTGAAGCTTCCTGACTGGGAGCTGAAGGGGCCGGCACAGCCGGGCAGCATGAATGCTGGCCCAGGGAGGTGAATGTCCAGGAGGAGGGGGCACTTGCTCAAAGGAGGGGAGCAAGGCGGGGAGCTTGCACAAAGACAGGGAAGAGGAGGTGCATGCACAAAGGTGGGCCGAAGGGTCTCCACTGGGCAGGTGGGTTGCCCTGAGCAGCAACTCCTGCCACAGCCAGCGAGCTGGGCCAGGCTGCAGCGCCCGCCCCATCCTAGGCCTGGCATGTAAGGCTGCCAAGCTGGGGTCAGCGCCGCTCCCTTCTGTGGCACCCAGGCCCAGCTGCAGGCTCAGTCTCACTCCCACACATCCGCCTCCTCCCTGCACTTGCCTGGCAGCCCCATCCAGCCTGCCCTGAGCCTCCCCTCCTTCCCCTGGCACAGGGCAGAGAAAGCAAATGCCACCCCTGCCCCGGGAGGGCTGCGTCTCCCCAAACTGGCACATTTGGCACATGATGGCTGGCTTGCCTGGCCACGAGCAGTTACTCTGGGCGCTGTGTGGCTGTGCACACCGCGTGGGGCTTTCCCTGTGCACTGGGCCAGGGAGCTGAGCACAGGGGCCAGCAGTGTGGCTGGGCAGCCATCAGGCTGTGAGCGCATAAAGCACAGGAGAGGGGCTAGTGCAGCAGCTGCAGCTCTACTGTCCCCAGAGCAAAGCATGAGCTAGAGAGCATCTGCCCAAGGCTGCAGGGGGCCCTGGCTGGCACTGGCCGGATGGCAGCCCAAGAGGTGACTCTCCTGCCGGCTTGGCCCCTCCAGTCAGCTTTGGCCAGGGGCAAAAACACCAGCCACTGGCACTTGGCTTGGAGTCATGCAGGGCCAGCAGCAGCGTAGCGGGCATGCTGCCCCACAGGTGTAGGCCCCTGCATACAGCCACAGGCATTCACACACATGCTGGGTGCCTCCCAGCACCCCACAGCCCCCCCAATCACTCATAAGGTGCTTTCGCACCCCATGTGAGCACTAAGCCATCGAAAGTGGCAGCTTTGGGAAAGGAACAAGCTCCTTGTGTGGGGGATTAGCCCAGCGCGCCTGCCTGCCTGTGTACAAGCTCTGCCCCACGTGCACAGCCTGGCATCACTCCCATGCACACACCTGCCTGGGCAGGTGACAGGGTCAGGACTCCTGGGTTCTGGTCCCAGCTCGCTCTGCTGCAAGGACCGTACTAGTGCATCTAGCAGCAAGGTGGTGTCCACAGGGTTACAGGCCAGGCTTGGAGGCAGTGGGGCTCGGGGGGGCAGATTGGGGCCCACAGTGAGTGGGTCTGCACAGGGTTACTGCTTACAGACCAGACCTGGAGGGGCTCTGGGTGCTCGGGCTGTGCTCACCCTCACAGCTGTGGCTTGGGGAAATCTTGATGCGTTTAAGGAGCATTTCCTGCCGCAAAGTGGCCCTAATTTCCTCTGCAGGGAAGGAGCCAAAACGGCATCTGGGCTTATTGATTTAAAGTACCGTAATGATCATAGATCTCCAATCAGCACCGCCTGCCCCATTAGCCTGGCACCAGCGAGCTAGGGACGGTGCTCTTGGCACGCCAGCTGTCCCAGCCCAGCACCGCTGTGTGCCCTCCCTGGCCCTAGTGCCACAGCAGCCTCGGTCCACTGCAGAGCCAGACGCCCCGTGCACAGCTAACCCTGCCCCTGCGGCTGGCAAGCCTGAAAGCTCTGGCTGAGCACTTGGGAACCAGCCGCCCCGAGCGACCATAAACAGCCCCACACTATAAACATTGCTCAGCGCAGAGGGCGCCAGGCCAGACTAGCTGTTTACATCTCCACCAAATCACGCTCCTCGGGGCTCGCACTCCATGTCCCAGCCCCGCTGTCCCCAGGAACTGCTGCCCCAAGGTCAGCAGCAGCTGCCCCAGCACCTTGGCGCCAGCCTCAGCCACGCCTTTCAGTGAGACCCATCACGTCCCCGGCCTTGAGCCTCGCCCCAGGCCCCCCCGCCCCAGCATCCCTCAGCCCCCCCTGATCCCCATGTCCTGCATGACACCATGCCCTGCCTCTCATGGGGCTGGGGTTGACCCTGCTTCAGCCCAAGCAGGGCTTCTGGGAACCTGCACATTCCCCAGCATCCAGGGTCCCTGCTCTAGTCCCCCCGGCCCCCAGGCAGCACCGTGCTTGCCACTCAGGCAGCCTGGGCCGTGACTGCACGGATGCTGTTTGCCAACGCCAGGTCCAGCTCCAGGCCCAGCCTGTGCTGATCATTTGTGACTCCAGCAGCAGCCCTAGGCCCGGCGATTGGGAGGGAATTGGGGTGGGGGGGGGCATTGGAAGAAGCTGGGCTGGGGGGTGGGGTGGGTAATGTATTTGCGCCCAGGGGCAGTCGCTGTGCAAGTGGGGAACAAAAGGGGATGCATTCGCACTGTGGGGCAGGGTGAAGGGGTATTTGTTCACACACACACACCCCCGTAGCACACGTGTCCCATTGCTCCTCCGTGAGCTCAAAGCATTTAATAAACGTGAATTAATCGTGTCTGTCACCCAGGGAGGTTAGGGCAGAAGCTCCAGGGTGCAGGCACCATCTCCCAGCACTGAAACGCAGGCAGAGCCCAGCCAGGGTGTGGCCAGCATTTAACAGGACACAGCAGCACTACATGCCAAGGCAGTCAGTGATGCAGTCTGGGCACGCTACAGGGGCAGGGGAGGGGGGTAATCACCAGCATTGAGTTTGGGGTTAGCAGCCCACCTCGCCTTTAGGCGGCATGCCCAGCTCTCAGTCCTGCCTGGGGCAGCACTGAGTCACCTGCAGCCCCCTGCCTTTGACCTGGGGGGGGGGTCTCCCCCCCAGCACTGAGCCAGCCCAGACCCGATTAGCGTGTCAGCTCTGCAAAGCCCCGGGCCCAAGCTTTCCCCAGCCCAGATGTGCTGCTCTCGGCTCATTTGGATAATGGCTGTGCTGAGCACACAGTAATTTTCCGCTGTTTACTTGCCCGCTCCCAGGCTGCCCCAGCCAAGCCCGGCTACCGCAGCCACAGAGCAGTGCTTGGGCCGACCTGCAGCGGCCTGGTTCAAGGCTGGGCTGTTCCAGGGCTGAGCGGATACTGACCTGGGCTCAGCCTCCCTTGTAAGCCAGGAGCCCTCAGGAGGAGAAAGGAGCCCAACCGCCCTCTTACTGTCTGTGGGTCAGGGGTGGGGGGCATCATGGGGCAGTTAGATGCTCTGTGGCATGGGGTAGTCAATTATTTTTTGTCAAGGTCCCAATTTCTCGGTCAAGGTCTAGTCAAGGTCCAGACACCAGAGAAAATATTTTAAAAACCCAACAATAATGCTAATAAATAAATAAAAAGATTTCGGGGTCCGTTCAAAAGTGTCTGGCGGTCCAGCTTTGGCCCGCGGCCCGCTATTGACTACCTGTACTCGGTGGCATTGCCCACACCAGCAGCAGGCGCAGGCCACTGCCACCCTGCACAGCTTAACACGCCAGGCAGTGGGTGTCATATCACGGCAGCTCCCCAGAGAACGGTTCTCAGCCCCGCCTGCAAGCCTGGGGGTCCTAATGGGAGCAGACGAGAGCACGAGCCGGCCCATGGCCAGCCGGCAGGAGCAGGCAGCCGGACAGCGACGCTGCCGCGCCATTTCCCTGCCTGGTGCCTGGGCGGCAGCGTGGCAGCTCGCTGGGCTCCTGCCGCCACGTTCCACCCAGAACCCAGGCAGGCAGCGAGGGACGGAGCCAGAGCCTGGCAGGGCACAGCCCTGGCTCGACACCGCTCTCTGGCCCTGCGCTAGTGCTGTGTGTGGGGACAGCAGGGGGCTGGAGCTGCCCGCCATGGCCATCTGCTGACATCACTGGGGGCCTCTTGACCTGCTAACGAGGCTAATTGAAGCAAATTGCTGGCGCAGGAGGCGCTTTCTGAGAAGGTAAATACAGTCCCTGTGAGGCACCAGGCCCTGCGAGCGTGTGGCTCCCTGTGTTGCCAAGGAGACCACACACACCCCTGCCCTCACCCTGTCACGCGTTGTGCCTGGAGCCCCAGCCCCGCTCACTGGGCCAGGGCAAGTCTGGGTGGCAAGGAGGGGACTGATGAGGTGGCCTCTGGCCTCACAGGCTCAGGTGCAGTGATCAAAAGGAGGAAGCTGGGGGTGGCGGCGCGGAGGAACTGTCCCACCCCCTTTCCCTGGGACTCCAGCAGGGGAGGAAGGGGCAGAGACTGCAGCCATTGCCTGGGGTCCAGGCTAGAGGGACCAGAGGGCTGCCCTGCCCTGGCAGAGCATAGGAAGGCAAAGCTGGTGGCAGGGCCCTGGCCCAGCTGAGTGGCAGCAGGCAGGCAGTGCCGGACTGGGGACTGGGCATCGCTGTAATGCCACAACATGTGCCACCTCCTGGCATTACAGAGAGCGGCACCGGCCCCTGCCTCCTCCTCCCCAGGCCTTGGCAAGCTAGGACCAAACAGTGGGCCCTGCACTCGGGGAGGGGCAGGAGGGAGAGGGGATTCACACCCTATAGGGGGAAGTTGTCCCCAGCAAGGAGGTGGCCTGACTGGAACAGAGCCAGCCCTCCCCACAGCCAACTCGTCTGCATAGCTGCTCAGTCAGCCAGAGGCGCAGGGACGCAGTGAAGCTCACAGCCCCCACCGCAAGCCGGAGCCCTCGCAGGTGGGTGCCAGGGCCTCGGGGCCGGCTCCATGGACGTGAGCAGCCGCTGCGTTGGGAGCAGTGTCTCAGCTGCTCTGGAGCACTGAGCGGAGCTGGCAGCATCAGTCACAGCCCAGCAAGCACAGCACCCTGGGCGCCCCGGCTCATCGGGGGGCTCTGCTATTTACACAGCAGCTTAGGGACAGTTCAAAGAGCAGCCGTGAGCCTTACGTAACAGCCCTAGCGCAGCCTGTCTTGGTGCAGCTCGCCAGCATAGGCCAAGCAGGCACATTCCTCAGCCCCCAGGGCTGGGCTGCAGCCGCCCACCTTGCCAGCCGGGGCAGGGGCAGATTTAGACTGGGGCTCCAACAGCAAAGTGTCGGGCCCTTGCCACATTCCCAACTGCCCTGATGACGCTGGTGCGAG